CATGAGGACATTTCAGTGAAACACACAAAATAGCATGCTCTACTGTGAGGTTTAAAGAAGTGTTTCAATAAACACAATCTGCCTTTTCAAAACAACTTACACATCAACTTATTGTAACATTCTTTTACTTAAATCTAATTCACAATAACCAAAACTTCACTGCCATTTACAAGGAAAATAAGGCATCACTTAAAACCCCTTTAAAAGATATATCAATCCTTAAAAAAAAAAAAGCATGCTGTACTGTGAGGTTTAAAGAAGAGTTTCAATAAACACAATCTGCCTTTTCAAAACAACTTATTGTAACATTCTTTTACTTAAATCTAATTCACAATAACCAAAACTTCACTGCCATTTACAAGGAAAATAAGGCATCATTTAAAACCCCTTTAAAAGATATATGAAGCCTTTTTTTTAAAAAAAGCACTGCTCCAATATAATGAATGAAATAATGAATGAAAAAGAATGTTATGGCATAATTCTAAAATACAAATCTGTTGAAGACAAAAAGTGACAATCAACATTAACTAAAAATTATTGTTGCTGATTCTGTTTTTTTAAAGTTATTCCACGATTACGCACAAAATCCCTAATATTTTGAACACTTCGATTCTCTAAAATTGGATGTTCAGCAAGTTTGCATTGGTGACATTCGGCATAAGTGGCCAATTTCCCTTTTAGTATGTGGTGCTTAAAATGCTTCATAACTGATTTGACCTCTCCTTGTGACCACTTCCTTTTTGGTTTCCTTTTTGTATTAGCAGTTGTCTCTGTAGAACTGTCCGGTAAAACTAAAAAAAAGAAACACAAACAAACAAACAGGCAGGCAGGAAGATAAGTAGCATATATAGTAACACTATAGTAACAAATTATTTACAATTGAAAAACATAAAAAGTTTCGACTGCACAAGTATTCACCCCCAAAATTGTGTACATTTTCATCCCCTACAATTTACCATGAGAGCTTTCAGGCACTTCTTCCATAGACACAGACGATGTCCTTTCTAATAAAGAGAAATAAAACTCATTTAACAGAAACCTTATTGCATATATAGTAACACTTTTTAAAATTTACAATTGAAAAACATGAGGTCTTTACTGCACAAATATTCACCCCTAAACTGTAAATTTACATCCCGTATAATTTACCATAAGAGCTTTCAGGCACTTCTTCCATAGCCACAGATGATGTACTTTCTAATAAAGAGAAATAAAACTTGTTTAACAGAAACCTCATTAAACTGATAACTGGTTTGAAAACAAGACAATGGACAAAATCCTAGGAGCATGAGATAATTGTACTTCTCATACAAGCATAGTGCATCCATTACACTGATTCAGCAAATGTTAATAAAAAAAGAGGAAATAAGTAAAATAATATATGTAATAATATCAATTAAATGGTCCTTTCATTGTGGCGAAGAAAACCTTTCCTGATTTTTAATAGGATTTCTATTTCATCCAATGATTTTCCTTGTAGATCTGTAAAGCATCCTTTTTCCATGGCAAGAAGCAACTTTGAAATTTTTGCCAGTTGAGTGGTTGCTTCTGGCAATCGATAAAAGTCACGGTGAACATGGATGTCGTGTCCCAAAAAATCTGCCAACTGATCAATTTCGTTGTCTTTTAGATTTAAAATTTGAGATAATGTGGCCACATGTTTTCGAAGATATGTTGACCTGAGGTATTCAGGGTTTTTGGCTCCACATTGAACCGCATAGGTTCTCAAGCAGTCCTGCCCCCTATAGTGACTCATACATTTTGGCCTGGCAAACAAGAACATATTAGCAATGCCAACACCACATTCTTCTCTATTGCTAACTATTAGGAGTAAAGCATCCACCATAGCTGGAGTGAGAAGGACTGCAACCTTCCTTCCTCTTTCCCCATGATCTCTATTGTTTGTTGAGCAATATTTACATTTTCAGCAGTTTTTTGTTTTTTGGAATTAGCATTAACACAGGTCATGTCTAATTCGCTGCTTGAGCTAGACTGACTATCTGGCCACTTCAGAGAAGATATAGGTCCAACACATTGGATACACTTGTCTAAACTTGAAATGGTTGTAGCACACATGTCACGTGTACAGCACTGTAGATAAAAATCATTATAAATTAACAAATGCAAAAGAAGTACGTAATATCATTTTTAAAATCCTGTTCAAAGGCTATGTGTTTTTATACTAAATCTTTAGACATACGGTCGCAGAAAAAACTAAGAGACCACAGCACAATTTTTTTTTCACTCATTTCTCAATTTGTGGGTGTGCGTCGGTGAACAATATATATTTTTATGGCAATTGCAGCCTGGTTCTTCTGTCTTTCTCATTAATGAAGGGCTTCTTCCTTGCTTTATGGAATTGCAGTTCTTCACACCTGCACTTAATGTTTCCCATTCCATTCGAAGGTCACTTGATGTCATACTTCAATTCACAAGAAACTCTCGGATAAGTTAACTGTCATCTCTGGCATTAGAAAGTTGCTTCCTCCCTTTACCTGGCCGGTTTCTGGTCATTCCCAGAGTCGGCCACTTCATCTTATCCCTGTGTCCTGCTGTCTTAAAAATTTTGAACCTGTAAGTATCCTGCTGTTCAGCAC